GGCTTTTATCCCCTTTCTTCTGCTCTCCGGTCCTGCTGCTTTGGGTGGGCCTGAGTTTCCTCTCCTCAACTAATCCCTATGGCTGATTGCTCTTCTCTCTGGCTTCCTGGCTTATAATTCCCTTTCTCCTGCTCTTCCCACTGGCTACTATTGGTGTCCCTGAGTTGTCTCTCCTCACCTGTAACCCTGGGGCTGACTGCTCTTCTGTCTGGGTTCCTGGCTTTTTATTCCCTTTCTCCTGCTCTTCCCGCTTGCTACTTCGGGCGTCCCTGAGTTGTCTCTCCTCACCTGTAACCCTGGGGCTGACTGCTCTTCTGGGCACTGAACTTACCTTTCCAGGCTGGCATCATTAGAGGTACTGAGTCCGTGTCTCTAACTGGTCGGTCTCCTGATGTATCATCCACCAGAAAATGTGACATCATATTAGTTCCCAAGGTGCAAAAGTTCCTAGAGGACACTGAAATAGAAGAGAAGCCCAGATAATTACATACATCTTCAGGATATACTAAGGAGTCCTGTTGGTGCATTGGTTAAAGTACTTGGCTGCTAACCAAAAGGTCAGCGGTTCAAACCCACCAGCTGCTCCATGGGAGAATGATGTGGCAGTCAGCTTCTGTAAAGATTTATAGCCTTGGAAACTCTATAGGGAAGTTCTACTCTGTTCTGTAGGGTCATTATGAGTCAAAATCAACTGATGACAGTCAGTTGTGTTGGGTTCATGGTCAAAATGTACTTCAGTTATATTTAAGCTGTAGAGGTTAGTGGTTGGAGCACTTTCATGATAGTATACAACATGCCATAGCCATTTTCATAGTGGTGTGGAACACTCTGTACTAAAATGGAAGACCAAACGTTCAAAACAAAAATCATTTTTTTTAAATTATAGAATGGATGCATATAATTTTGAATCAATTTTAAAGTGTCTGCTCAGCATGAAAGTCAATGACCACCCCCTTTCTTGGTGAATGGGCCTCTACTTCATATTCAGTTTATATTTTGTGACTCTACCTCCCAGCCACTGATTACTGGATGATGGTAGACAACTGACCCAGCTGAGCCAATCAGATTCCCAGAAAGTAGGAAATGGGGCCGAGGAAGTTAAGTTAGCCTTTGTGGATGGCTAGAACTACAATATATAAATTTGGGAGCTGTGGGTTGGCCACATTCTGTCCTGTGGCTGGAATAATCAGGAAATCTTATCTGTAAAGTTACCTCACGCCTTGGTCAACACTCTGCCTGTATGATAGTATCCATTACCCTGGCTTTAAACACTATATGTTGTTATATGCTGTTGTCTCCAAAATTTACATCTCCTGCCTTAACATTCAGATTTGTAAATCCTTCTGTCTTTCACCATTTCCACTTGCTACTAGATATTTCAAACCCACTGTCCCAAAAAGAAATTTTCATTTCTCTTTCACAACTGATTTTCCCCAGTCCTTCCCTACCTCTATAAGTGACACTACCATTCTACCAGCCCCTGAAACCTTGATTCCTTCCTTTCCCTCATTCATCAGCAATTCCTCCAGGTTCTTCCTACAAAATATATCACCTTGTCTCCACTGCCCTCACTCCACCACTATAATTCAAGCTTCCTGAGTCTCTAACCTAAACTACCCCAATGTTTTAATGTTCTCACCACCTTCCTCTCACCAGCCCCCCCAAAAAAGGTTTAGTTGACATATCTAAAATAATCTTTATAAAACCTACATCATAGCATTTTCTGCTTGAATGTTTCCAATGACTTTCCATTACTTTTAGAATAAAATCCAAACTCCTTACTGAAGTCACAAAGCCTTGCATGATCTGATTTCCTTGCTTCATCCATCACACTTTGTATCTCCTCCTCTAGCTCACAACACTCTTACCACTGACCTGCTCTCTGCTCCTCCAACTAACTTCTTTCTTTTTTTTAAATAAAAGTAATAATTTTATTATATTCAACTTACATATTTTTATAATCTTTCATAAATTTGTAATACTACATGTAATGAAACAGTCTATATTTCCTATTGAGTTGGCTCCAACTCATAGCGACCCTCTGTACAACAGAACAGAATATTGCCTGCTCCTAAACCATCCCCACAATACTTGTTATGCTTGAATCCACTACTGCAGTCACTGTGTCAATCCATCTCATTGAAAGTCTTCTTCCCCTTGTTTGCTGACCTTCTACTTTACCAAGTATGATATTCTTCTCTAGGGACCAATCCCTTCTGACCACATGACCAAAGTACATGAGACAAGGTCTGGCCTTTTTCCCTTCTAAGGAGCATTCCAGAAGCTCTTCTTTGAGGACAGATCTGTCCGTCCTTCAGGCAGTCCATGGTTTTTCAGTATTCTTTGCCAACATCACAATTAAAAGGCACCAATTCATCTTCAGTCTTCCTTATTCATTGTCCAGTTTTCATATGCATGTAAGATGAATGATAATAGCATGGCTTGGGTCAGGCACATTTGTCTTAAAAGTGACATCTTTGCTTGTATTCTTCCTGCAATGTTATTTAAAATCCTGAGCTGTGGACTTTCTGCTGTTCGGAGGGTGCAGCCATTTTTATTGTTTACAAACGGTGGCCATTTCAGATATTTCCACTAACTTCTTTCTTGCCTTAAGGTCTTTATACTTTGCTAGAATACTTTCTCCCTTGCTCTTTACATAGTTGGCCACTTCTCATCCTTCAGGTTTCTCGGTATCTTGTCATTTGCCAAGAGACATTTCCCTTGACCTTCCTATCTAAAGTGAGCACTTCCCTAATTATATTCTGTCATGCCACCATGTTTGTTTCCTTCATAACACCAAACTCGGAAACTACCTTCATTTATTTATGTCTGTTTATTTTTTATTCAACCTCACCAGAATATAAAGACTTGGAAGGCTGAAATTTGGTTTCTCTTATTTACCTCTATATGCCCATCACTTGAATGGCTCCTGGAACATAGTAAAAAACCAAAACCAAATCCACTGCTATAGAGTCATATCCAACTCATAGCGACCCCTCGTTGGGTTTCCAAGGCAGTATCACTACAGAAGTAGATTGCACAAACTTCCTTCCAAGGAGTGGCTGGTAGGTTTGAACTGCCAGCCTTCTGGTTAGCAGTCAAATGCCTTAGGCACTATATTACCAGAGCTTCTTGGAACATAGTAGTCACTCAATAAATATATATTGTACAAATGAGTAAATGAACAGAGTGATAAATGGAGAAAGAAAAATGACACTGAGAGACTGAGATGAGTAAGAAGGTCCTGAAAGCTTTCTGTTCTTGATTCTAGTCTTTTCCAAGCCTTCGATCTGGTCCTGCCTGTAGGTTCTATAGAAGAGTCTTGTATCCTGTACAACAAAATTTACCTTTTTGCTGAAGCTAGCTTGAATTGGCAAAATATAATCAAGTGGCCACATACAATCTATCAAGGAAAAAAGGTTGGAAATTAGATGTAAGGAAGATTTATCAATTGTTTTGTACTTAACAGAATGAAAGACTAGAAGAATTACCTTTCAGAATGATATTCAGAACTATAGTGCAAGAGTAGGTATGTGCAGGTGAAGAATAAACTTTTAGAAATGATAGATGCATAAAGTAGGTTGATGAAACCAACAATTAAATTATACAGCCAATTTCCATAGCTTGATATTATATTCACCTCTGATTAAATTTGGAGAGAAGGCACTATAAACAATGGCTGTGGTCAATGGTCCAGGGATAAGAAAGACATGAATTCACATCTTTCCTTTGTTGTGTGATCATGGGTAGGTTACTTAAACTCTTTCTTAGTTTTTCTATCTGTAAAATATGGAGGAAATAATCACCTCATATAGTTATGATGAGGTTCAGTTGAGATAATGCCAATAAAAAATTAGCCTAATACTTGGCACTTAGTACATATTCTGTGTTAGCTAAATGCTGCTTTTTTGTTTTGTATTATTTTGACTGAACAAGTCTCTGGCCAATCGTTAATTCTTTAGTCAGCATAAATTAATGGTTTGTATACACACACACACACACACACATACAAAAAAAAAAAAAAAACCACACCAAACTCATTGCCTTTGAGTAGATTCCAACTCTTAGCCACCCTATAGGACAGAGTAGAAATGCCCCATAGAGTTTCCACGGCTGTAAATCTTTTTTCTATTTAACTTTTTATTATGATTTGTGTGAAAGTTTACAGAGTAATTGGTTTTCCATTTAACAGTTCACACACATTTTGTTCGTGACACTGATTACAATCCCCACAATGTAACATCACTCTTCCCACTTCCTCCCTATGTTTTCCATTTCCCTTTGTCTTTCTTTCCTGTCCATTGCTGACTTCTGAGCTTTAGCCCTGAGCAGATGCTGCCCTTTTGATCTTTTATGTTTAATTGTTTTAAGGAGTGTGTACCTCCCTGATGTTATTGTTCACCTCACAGGCTTGTCTATTGTTTGGCTAAAAGTTGAGCCACAGGAGTGAGTTGGGTTCCAGACCATAGTCTTTGGGATTCTACCAGTCTCTATCAGGCCAGTAAGCCCAGTCTTTTTTTTTTTTTTTTATTATTATGATTTGGGTGAAAATTTACAAAGCAAATTCACTTTCTATACAGAAGTTCACATACACTTTGTCTCATGACACTGACTACAATTTACCAGAATGCAATAGCTTCCCTCCCACTTCCTCCTCATAGTTACCTTTTCCCTGTGTCCATCCCTCCATGCACTCCTGCCCCCTGAGCTGTCTCCCTGTGCATAAACAGCCCTTCTTTCTCCCATGATTGTTCTCTCCAAGGACTGTATCTACCTCAGGTACATGTTCAACTTATATGCCTGTCTTTTGTTTGGCTGGAAGCCATATGTGTGGGTTCAATTCCAGACCTGAAGGGCAGCTAGAGGCCATAGTCTCAGTGGTTCCACCAGGCTCTATCAGACCAGCAAAACTGGTCTTTCCCCCGTTTTTTTTTTTTTTTTTCAAATGATTTTGTGTTTCATTCCACATTGTTCTACATCTCTATCCAGGATCTCTTACATAGATCCCCCTTCAAGTGGTTGACAGTGGTAGCCAGGCACCATCTAGTTCTTCTGGTCTCATAGTCATATAGGCTGTGGATCACATGGTGTACCAGTCGCTAGGACTAATTGTTTCCATGAATCTTTGGTTTTCTTCTTTCTTCTTTGCTCTGGATGAGGAGAGACCCATCATTGCATCCAGATGGCTGCTTGTAAGCTTTTAAGATCCCAGTCTCTACTTGCCAAATTAGGAGGTGGAACAATGTTTTGTGTAGTATGTTATGCCAATTGAACTTGATGTCCCCTGTGACTATGGTCCCAAGCCCACCGGTTTAACTACTTGGTCCCTCTGGGTAGCTGGCTATGACCAAGAAGTGACTACAACCTTGTCCCTTGTCAGATCTACTATACATCTGGGAATTCTTACAGCTGATACAAA